CGACTTTAAGTGAAACGATGTTAAGCGAATCCAATTTCCCCATAAGAAATAGAATATAAATAGGGGGGGGGTTAGGTTCCAGGGAATTTTTTTTGCCATACAGTACAGTACTATAGTTGGGAGGTGCCCCCGCCTTACCCCACACAGGCACAGCCCACTGGTGCTGGAGACAATGAGGCAGGCAAGGAGGCTGAAGGTGCTGTAGGCTAGGAGAAGCACATTGCACAGCAGCAGCTTCCCCTACTCTGCAAGCACAAGGGGCAGGGGGCTCAACCCTCGGCCTGCCCACGCCACCCCTTCCCCCAAACCCCAACCTTAATCGGCCTCTTCTTCCTCCCCCCAACCCAGTTACTCTGCACGCCGCATCCTTGCTCCTCCCCACTCCCTCCCCTGCGGCAGTCAGTTGGCTTGCAGCGTTCAGGAGGCAGGAGGGAGGAGCGAGGACCCAGCACGCAGGCTCCCCCTCCCTTCCTTGCCTCCTGAACACCGCAAGCCAGCTGATTGCCACAAGCAGGAGGGGGGAGGTGTGCCGCGTCCTCGCTCCTCCCCCTCCCTCCTGCCCGCGGCAATCAGCTGGCTTGCGATGTTCAGGGGGCAGGAGGGAGGAGTGAGGACTCGGCGCACAGGCTCCCCCTCCCTCCCCTGCCTCACTCCTCCCCCTCCCTCCTGAATGCCACAAGCCAGCTGATTGCTGTGGGCAGGGGGAGGAGGAAGGTGCTGATCCACGGGGTCTGCTGGCGGGTGGGAGGCGCTGGGGCGGGAGCGCATAGGGAGCTGTTAGGGGCGCTGCCAGCTGTGGACAAAGCAGCCAAACGACATTATAGCGAAGCACTGCACAACTTTAAATGGAGCATGTTCTGTAATTGAGCGGGGACGTAAGATCGAAACAATGTTAAGCAAGAGGACGTTAAGTGGGGAGTTACTGTACCTCACAAGATTCATTTAATACATGAAACATTGTAGAAGGTACTATAGAGATAATCACTAAGACAACTGAAATCCAGGTAATTAATTTTGATTCCTTGCAGGCCCTTACTCAGACTTTAAGAAAGGTAATGTAATGCCAAGGAGGAAGAAAGAAAACCTAAGCACATTTTACTAATTATAACAACATAAGAATTTTGAGTATTTCCCAGTTATGCTGGGATTGGTTTCCAAGTCTCCCTGCTCATTGTTTTCCTTTTTAAAGACGGGAACATGCCACTTCTTCCCACATTTTATTTTCTTTCCTGACATACTCGGCGGTGATGATGCTAACTTCTGGGAGTCTTGACCTTGCCTGAATCTCCCATGATCAGCAATGGGCTTTTCAACAATGGAGCCTGAAGCATTACTAAACTCTTTCACCCAGGGCACTCTTTTGGCTAACCTTCATTGCACCAAGGCTGCTTTACAAATAAACAAATAAACAAATGAATAAATAAAAGTGTGTCTGTTCTGCCACAAAGGGACTGAAATCTCCATTACAGCACAGGAAACTCCACTGAAACTCTCTTAGTGGAATTTCCCAAAGATCGTAACTAAGACAAGATGTTAAAAATTTCTCTCTCAATCAGGAGTGCAACTACTGAGGGTCAAAGAATTCTGATTTTTCCTTATATTTCTGATCAAACCTAAGTATGTACCCAGTGTAACACTGGGATTTCTGATGGTGCATGTTACATAAGGCAAACTAACAACCATAGAAGGTACATACTGAGCTATGGGAGTTTTTGTCATTGGATTCCATAGGAGCAGGATCTGGACCTTAGTTTTCCCACTACTGCAGTTATTTCCCCCCCAAAATATTTCTTGCAAAAATACCATTTAATGATCCAGATTCTAGTCTCCATCACAAAAATGTAAAGCACAAGTATTTCCACTGAGGTCTAAGGAGTCACACACCAGTGTAGGACAGGTGTGTGTGAACTCAGAATCAGGAACACTAAAAGTTGTATGGTGCTTAGATGCCAGCCTTGTAATTTATTTCAGGATACAGGGTTCTCTTAGTGCAACCTCCTTGCAATAATTCAGATGCAATATCTAGGGTAACCAATTAATTTTATTTATAACTGGGTAACAGCTGCTTACTGTTATAGCTGTGTTGAGGCGTTGTCCTTGGGGTAAATGCTGGATAAGTGTTCTGTTCTTTTGGGGAGAAAACTGCATGGTAGGCTGAAAGACATTATCAAAAACATTTCAGAGTGGAAATTATTCCTTTAAAGCACAGCTAAAATGTTTAAAAGTTAGGAAAATATTATTGCAGCTTTTTACTCCCTTACCTATGATCACAACAGCTGTCCCTGCCAGCAGTGCAAAAAGCGTGAAGAACATTACTTGATAGGAATCAAGGAAGTGTTGGAATAAGCTGGCTCCGTCTGTGGAACCGATTGAAAAGGAGAGATATCATATGATGTTATAAATAGCATTGTATCTTTCTAATCCCCTCTAATGACAACTGGGCTCTTTTCCTAGCTTTTTTCTATTTCATTTTGAATATTTATTTGTGCATGTTACATTTTATTAGTTTAAAAAACATGATTGACTTAGATTACAATGGCAATTTCCACTATAATGTTCAAAATGTGCTTGTCGGTGATAACTCAAAATAGATTGAAATGTCACACACATTGTTCCCACCTCAACCCACTAATCAGTTTTGGAAATGCCAAGCCATGTTTGAGAGTATGTAAAAATTAAAGCAAGAAGTACTGTTGGATACTATAGAATTATGGAATTTATGCCAGCTGGGATGGGCAAGCAGCCATTAGAGAGCACATTCCAAAGACAGTAATTGGACTGACCCAGAAAGGGAAATGTGTCCAGCTTCAGCCACAAGGAGCATTTGCATGCAAACCTTGCTGTCAGAATATTAGTGTTCATCTTACATATCAGACAACTTTTTAGCTGATTGTTACTCCGGCTCAAATCTAAGCCACACTAAGTTCTACACCACCACCTTGAACACTAATGAATGTTGGAGATTTATTCTGACCTATGAAATATACAGATAGAAAAACTTACGTCTCATTGGCTCGCTTCTCTCAGCTACATAAATCACTGTCACCGGAACAGTGATCGACTGGTCAGTCACTGGGCTAGATATGGTAAGAATGGTTGATAAGGACCCCTGGCTTGGAACTCCTGGATCAGATACACTAACAGTGTAGATTACATAACTAGGCAGTCCATATGATTTCTCCTTCTCAAAGGCCTTCACCATTGGTGACCCACATTTCACCTGCAAGACAAACATACTGTCCGAACAAGCACTGTGCACACCCTCGTTTCCCGGTTCTATGCCAAAGAGATGAGTAGAATTAAAACTCTCTTGGAAGGAAAATTTGCTTCAAAGAGGAGCATATGTTGTAAACCATAGAACTATACCACCAAACTTCCTCAGATTCATTCTCCCTCTCTGATTGCACAACTATCTGTTGCCTATTTAGTTTCAGTATTGTTGCTGCCAGTTTTGCTACTCTCTCTTGCAAGGCTGGAGAATAGCATGCATGTGAACTCCCCACACAGTAGCACATGAAAGCAATATCATCCTGCCAGGGCATGAAACAAACACGTGCGTGACCACCAACTAAATAGTAAAACTAACTGTACCGTTCGGAAACAAAGTGAAAACAGAGAAAAATGTTTTCACTCCGTGCTCCCTACCTGTTGCATAACCTCCAGGGTTACTTGTAAGAATACTTTACAATACAATAAATGTAACAGTATACTTCCACATAGAAATGTGATTCTCAACATAATAACGGCCATACTGGGTCAGACCAAAAGTCCATCTAGCCCCGTATCCTGTCTTCTGACAGTGGCCAATGCCGGGTGCCCCAGAGGGAATGAACAGAACAGGTAATCATCAAGTGATCCATTCTGTCGCTCATTCCCAGCTTCTGGCAAACAGAGGCTAGGGACAGCATTCCTGCCCATTCTGGCTTCTCAAGTTGGTGGAATCTCTAAGACACAAGAATGTTAATGTTGGCTACAGTACTTAAAAGATCCTCCTATCCTTCTACAAATTAATCTTTCTGTCGGGTAACGTCAATACAACGAGTCAAATACTAAAACGCTTTAAAAAAAAATCTTAGCAAGGTTGATGAACACAGGTTATTATTATTTTAACATCAGATCTCAAACTTCATGATGAGTTTCTGCATTTAGTCCCTGGGGTGAGAGGAAAAACAATCAAATACTAGATATCCCAAAATATATCAAATATGCTTTACTTAGCTGGAGAAAATACACACAACTGTATGTGCACAATTACAAAAACTAGTGTTTTAATCTTTCCCCTCTGTAGAGATTATAAACATCTGCAGTTCTCACCACAGCAGGTACTTTTTTGAATTTTAAAGGTCATGCATGTATCAGTACATAAAACCAGAGAATCATAGCAGTTAGAGATGGCAAAGCATTGAGTCAGTCCACAGAAAGTGCAGCACATGGTCTCTGGCTAGATGTTAAACTAGCAAACATGACACTTTATTTTTATCCAAAACCAAGTCTGTTTGGACCTCTCACAATAGCTACTAAGAATGGATCTAACAATCCACACACGTATAACAATGGGCAACAGGTTACAGCTGATTGTGACAGGGTGTAGGGGAACTAACTGCTCCCTAGTACATAGGGGGTTAAATTCCACCTACACTTTCTCCTCCCCTTGCATAGGTGCCTAGGGGAAGATTTAGGAG